GTGATAATTTTACCTCACCCAAACTAGAGTGTCTTATATGAATTGATATTGGGTTTGGCCAAACCCACCCAAACCGCCTCACGTACACCCTTAATAAAAAGCCACTTTTATAAAATTTGAATATATATTTTTGAATAGTACGTAGTTAAATTTCTGAATATTTTTAATACACATCAAAACAAGTATGCTAATTATCTCTATTTTGTCAAAAAATAATATAGATGTCAATCTTCGTATTGATGGAAGGCTGACTACGTATGTTAAGTTCCAGACTAACCACTTGACACATTTTGAACTCATGATAATGTGTTTATTTCACAATTAAAAAGATAATTCGGAAGTTAAGTTCTTACTAACCCTCAGGCAATAAGTTTCTCTCTTGGACGATACGTTTATTATAAATTTGACATATTTAATAAACCTTATATCTTAAACCATTTATATTAAATATAAATAATTGTTATTAAATTAAACCATACACTTATGTAATTCAATCAAAATCTATACCATATATTAACTCAAAATGAAAACTACACATTATTCACAAAATACAAACCATAATACAAATTATCAAAATACAAAGCAAAAGTCAATAACTAGGTATATATGATCCACTGGTTCCTCAAGTACTTCTTGTACTACAAGGTTTGTCGTGCCTCAGCTATTATGACCTACAATGGCTCTTCCAGGAGTCCCTTCATGAAACTCTCCTCACTTTATGACCGTTGTTCCAATAGTCATAATACGCTGATAGATCAACAACACGTCAATGACATGGTCTACCCTAGTATGCTCCTCTTCCAATATCTTCTGTTGAGGAGCTGACATACTATGTACATCCCCTAAGACCAGATGATCATAGTACACCGTAAATATCTCATCAATATTTATGTGATAAACTACGGGAGGAGCAACAATGGTGGGGGCTCTCGGAATACATATCATATACTTGAACTGGCGCATGAATCACTCAGGTAGATGTGGATACATTAGTTGTGACCCACAATTCAACCATCTGAAGTACAAGAACATCTCATTGAAAGGGTGCATGTCACAGTGATCTTCGTATGATATGAAGTTTATATCATTTGCCGCAACGCGATAAAGATAAACTCGGAATAACTCATTCATCCGATTCCTTCTAACATGAATGAAAGAGAAAACATGTGGCAAAGCCTTGTTGTAGCCATCCACATATGCCCGGTCAGAGAGGCGTGGAAAATGCTTGAGGATCCAGTCTGAAAATGGTTCAGATGAAATATTATTAATGATGTAGCACAAGTGTTATGAAATAATTAGTAACAGTAAATGTGTAAATATATTACTGTAAATAGGGCGTTGCTTATTGTCATATGTATAGTCTTCCCTAAACAAGCTTCACCTAACTTGGACTAGAGGTAAAAAAAACAAGAGCCCCCTATTGTACTCATGAATCATCTCCAAGTGAATGAAGTTCTCAGATAGACAACATCGATATAGTATGCACTTTTGTCAACAAATATGGGCATTTCAACAAGATACATGATGTATGACCTCAATGCACATACTCTATGATACATAATTTGTGCATCATCACCATCAGCCTCAACTTTTACATCCAGGTGGTATATTTAGAAGTTCTTCATAAATATAAATCTAGCATGACATCCTTTGATGTCATCTATCTCCTGTTGGGTATCACCTGAGTCAACTACCAAATATTGCATCATCATGTTCAGTGCATCAAGTCTAGTGATTATAAAGTAGTTTAATAATCTTCTCGAGATCGAAACATGTAGGAGGGATGGCACATCTTCAAGTGTGATGGACATGGTTCATCATATTCTAGCAGGTTCACAATCTTTCTACCATGGTTGATACATTTTAACGACTCTTAGTGTTATAAGAAATACATCATCGCCAAAAAGTTCAAATCTCAAAACACATATGTTTAAAAGAATAAATATATATTTATTTTACCTATACATCTTACACGTGTATGAGGGGCCTCGTGGAAAAACATCAAGAATGGCAGCAACATGTTGGACTTCTAAGTCTTTAAGGAAGCATGTTCAACTTCTAGGGCTTATGGGGAAGCAATAGAGGACACATGCCTCCGATAAGACGATGTCGAAGATAAATGAACTTGGGAAGATTATGTTTTTCCATCAAACTAGTAACAAATTCGTGCTTACGCACGGGGTACATTTTTGGGTGGGATACAGTTTTGGACGCACATTTGTTTACAAATTGTCATAAAAATTGAATGTTGAAAAAAGAAAAAAAAACTTAAGAATAATAGTAAATTTAAGTTGAAATAGTAATAAATGTAGAAGATGAAAGTTAAACAACAATATCAAGAATAATATGATTAAAAATAAAAATTATTGAAACTTTTATTAGATAAATTATCATTTTATTTTTTTTTACAAATAAGACATTATTTTATAAGAGAGAATACAATGGTCGATAAATTTCTATTATTCAATATTTAGATCAGTAGTAAAGTTGATCCCATTTATAACAATAATATTTATTTTCGTATATAAAAATATTTTAATCAACAATATATTTTTTTCTCGTATATAAATATTATTTTTGTTTTGACATTATTTATAAATATATTTGAATCAATAGTAAAGTTGTTCCCGTTTATAAAAATATTTGAATCAAAATATTAATTTTGTTTTGAAAATATTTATAAAAATATTTGAATCAATAGTCAATTTTTGTCTGTTATAACAATTATAGTTTCTCCCCTATATAAAAACATTTTAATCAACAATATATTTTTTCCCGTATATAGATATTAATTTTGTTTTGACACTATTTATAAAAAAATTGAATTAATAGTACAGTTATTCCCGTATATAAAAATATTTGAATCAAAAATAAAGTTATGCCCGTTTATAATAATATTTTTTTTTCGTATATAAAAATATTTGAATTAACAATGTATTTTTTCTATATATAAATATTATTTTTGTTTTGACATTATTTATAAAAATATTTGAATCAATTGTAAAGTTGCTCCCATTGTCCTTCAATATTTTGATCAATAACTTGATTTTCCTCGTTTCATATAATTTCTATATTAGGATAAAACAAAATTTATTAAATTTTTAAATAAATATAATTGTCCTAATTAACTATACAAATATTTGAAAATATATAGATATACTACACAAATATATGTAGATATTAATTATTTTAATAACCATCAAAATCCAATTTCATATTACATTAATTTATTGAACATTTATTATAAAAAAATTAGGCTTAAATGCACTTTTAGTATCTGTATCCCTTTTAATTTTTCAGCCTTTTAGTCCCTCAAGATATCATTTTTTTGGGATTTTTTTTAGTCTCTCTTCTGTTTTGATTTTGTGGCGCTAAAAAATGGTGAGTTGGCATGGGAAGTCAGATGTCATGTTATTTAATGAGAATACCAATTTAATGACATGTCATGAAATTGGAATTTTATTTTTTTTTTAATTAAATTTTAAAACCTGGATTTTTTTAAACCGTGTTTATATATTAAAGGAACCCTAATCTCATTCCCTAATTTCTTTATCTCTTTCATAAACTATCTACGAACGAGTTGCGAAATCACCATGGAATTCAAAGGTCAAGCAAGAACGAAAAGCAAGGAACAAGTGAAATACTGTATGAGGTAAGTGAATTTTTTTACTGGAATTAAGGTTTATGGTTTAGTACGCATAAGGTTTCCATTTCTGAAACACGTGACCCCTTCTTCTTTTTGTTTATTCTAAATGTGGTCCCAAAAAATTGTTGTTCATTCTGAGTGTGGTCTCAATTAAGATTGTTTAGTCTGAATTAGGATTTATTATGAATGTGGTCCCAAATATGTCTCAAGTAATGATGTTTATTATGAAACCTTGTTTCAATTACAGACCAAGTCAAAATCAAGGCATTAGGACACAATTTCATCTTAGGGGAAAGTTAGTGTCTGAACCTGTGAAGTGGTATGTTAACAGGATAGTTTCTGAAATGAACTGGAAATGGGATATGGATTATGTGTCCTATATGCAATTGGAAAAGCTGGTTCACAATGAGGGATATACTAATATTAAGTGTTTATGATATTGGAACCCAAAGTATAGTTTTGCACGTGGCCTTAAACCTCTAAATTATGATGAAGATGTGCTGAAATTTGTTGCTGATGTTAAGGATTTTGAGGTTTTAGATGTGTATGTAGAGCACTCAGTTTGTACTCTTGATATTATAGATGAGGTTGGGCTAGGAAAAGAACATGACAATGTGGAGGGAGGAATAGGAAGTAAAGATAACAATGTGGAGGGAGGAATATGAGGTGAAGATGACAATGTAGAGGGAGGAATAAGAGGTGAAGATGACAATGTGGATGGAGGAATAGGAAATGAAGATGACAATGTGGAGGGAAATGAATATGACAATGTGGCGGGAGGGTTAAGACAGAAAGATGTTAATATGGATGGAGGCAATGATTCATTAAGTGTAGGTGATGATAAATATGCTGCAAGTGAAGGTGAGAATGATTCATCGAGTGAAGGTGAGGATGACTATGTTACAAGTGAGGATGACACTAATTCAATCAATGTGGATTGGACTACAGTGCTACAAGGTAGTGATGATGTGTGTCAAGCTACTAAAAAAGAATGTGATGATGACTCTGATCAACTACATACTCCTCCTGATAGTGGGGATGATGAAGAAAATGAAAAATTCCTAGCTTTTAGAAGTGGTGAAGGATTAAAATTTTAATTGGATATGGTTTTTAACAACAAAAAACTGGTGAGAGAGGCTGTAAAGGACTATGCAATGAATATGAAGAAAAATGTCTTCATTAAGAAAAATGATGACAAGAGGATAGTAGTTAAGTGTATGAGAGGTTGTAATTTTTACATGAGACTTAATAAAAGGGTTGATAATCAATTCTGGCAAGTTGTTAGTCTTATAGATGACCATATTTGTTGCAAAAAATGGGATCTGACTGGTATTCCTTGTAGTCATACCATATCATGTATATGGCAAAACAAGAAAAAAAACCTGAAGATTATGTCTCTGAATATTACAAGTCTATGCATTCACCATGTGTATCTGCTTATTATGTTTTGCTGAGATATTGTTGAATTGGTTGTGCAGGAAGTCTTTTTTTAATAACAGTTATTCACATATAATCTACCCTAAAAATGGGCCCCAACTATGGCCTTTGTTGGAGGGTCAGGTACCAATCAAACCCCTAGTTCTCAAAAGGGCTATTGGTCAACCCAAGAAGCTGAGGAATAAAGTGAATGATGAACCAAGCAATCCACATGTACTTTCTAGGAAGCTTACAACTGTGAGTTGTCATAAATATGGTGCCATGGGACACAACAAAAGGAGTTACAAAGGAAAGAGGGCTGCTGAGAGAGAGTCATTCAAAGGTGGTAACAAGAAGAAGGGCAATGCATCAAAGGATGGAAAGAGACATAAAATTGAAACAAAAGGTGGAAAGAAGACAAAGGCAATTGTAACAAAAATTGGGAATTCATCACAAGTACCTCAACCTTCTCAAGATTAGTTCAAATTAGGTTTTATGTGCTTGATGTTGGTTTGTAATAGATAGGTTTTATGACATTTTGTGGTTTCTATTATTTTGTAATCAGTTTGTAGTTTACGTGCTTGAACAAGTCTTTGAATTTTGTGGCTTTGTTGTCTATGTATTGGAACAAGTTATTGTCTATGTAATGACTTTAATGATATCATTATGAAGTAATGTTGAATTTCTCAACTTCATTGTCAGTTAATTATGAATTATTTGAAGCAAGCATCTGCATTTGTAATTTGAATATGACATGTCCTATTATTTGAAACTGACATGTCCTTTAATTGGAGCATGTCCTATGTAATGACTATAATTGGAACATGTACAATTAGAACATGTCCTATAATCTGCATCTGCATATGCTAATTCAACATTTAAGCAATTCAAATACCATATAACCCAAATACCATATAAACCATAAATATATTAAGCCAAAAATCATCACTCTCATTCATCAATTTATAGGTTACATTCATACTGTCAGATTCATTACACTTGTTACAACTAAACCATAAACATACTACATCATTTTTTAACCACAACCTACTTCATTACACTTGTTACAACTAAACTTAATAACAATACAAAGTTCATAACACATGTAAACTTCAGTTGTATATTAAGGAACTTGATCTTCATCTTCAACTCATCCTCTTTGACCCTGCATTCATTAACCTTATTCTTCTCTAAGCATAATTTTTCCTTCAAAGATGTAATCATTTTATTTGCTCTTGGGGTCATCTCTTTGTCATACCAAACAAAATGACTACACATCTTTTATCCCACAACCTACAAGCAACATATCGGAAAAATACGAAAGGCATTTTCATGATTGGAGAAAGTATAAGTGACAAATCATAGAAAAATAATACCTTATACATTTCACAACCATAAAAGCGTCGCCCTGGGTTAGAATTAGTCTAAGATATCATCAGTGGTGCTTTGAGGCCGCACATCCATTCACCTTAGTTTGATTTCAAGTTCAAATGGGATTTTGTGTGACTGCTTGCTTGGAAAAAACCAGATATGGACATCAATTAAAACTCAATATATCATAATTTTGCATCAGGTAGTAATAACAAGAAAAGTAATTTTTTTTACAGTAACGAATAATTGCTATACATAGTCAGATTTAAACAATTAAGTGAGTTTTTTAATCTAAAGGACATAAAGATATAATTGAAACTTGGTCTTAATTCAAAAGGTTAATGAACAATCTTTGTTCACAGTCTCCAATCTTGTTTGATGTAGTGGTTCTTGTTTATGGTTTTAGTGGTTCTTATTTGAAAACAATAATATTCTTTGATTTGGTTTCCTTTCTAAATCTCATTCAAAATATAACACCTCAGACTGATGTTTGTTGATGTAATGAAACTCATGTTGATCTTTCAAGACTTCTTTTCATTCTTTATGATGACCTTTTCCTATTACTGCAAAGTTGATTGTATTATTAACCACATAATTTTGCTAAATCAAAGAAATAAAATTATTAGTGTCATAACAATTCAAATTGATACATGTAATTCAGGAAGATTCACTATCATATATGCTCATACAAAATGTAGGAGACACTATTAGTCTCAACAGGAATTGAGAAAATGAGAGGATAGAATAAACACAAATATAGTTCAAAACATATCAATTTATTTAAATACTTACAACATACTTAAAGTTGGTGGAATAGATTTCAAAGCCTGAAAGTAGCTCCCAGGAAATTATTTTAAACATTTAAGATGCATCAGATTTCTCAATAAATCAAGTTAATAGAATAAACATATCATAAATGTAGAAACAGTTTTCCATATGAAGCTTACCACAACCCTTTAAGCAACTAAGAAATGGGGGAACTGCTTAAGTGTCCCAACAAAGGAAATAAATACATTATTAAACTTACAAAACAAATTGAAAATTTCAAACCATGTGTAACATATCTGGATTTAGAAAACCTTTAAGATTTTAGAAACATAGGTTTGACAATATATAGACTTTAATATTCTTACACAACAGAAACACTACTGAAATCTATGTCCACAAGCGCTTATAAGCTCAAACAAAGCACGATAAAATTCAAAACTAAAGATTTAAATACTAATTTGAGAAACAAAGTCCAAAACAATTGTAAAAAGCTAACAAACTAAACACGAATCATCTTCTGGAGAGTATCAATGGCGAGCGTATCTGACGTAACAAAAACAAGATTCCCCGTCATTACTTTCGACATAGCCGTCTCGTCATGCAACAACCCCTCAACAATAACTCTAGTAGCAACATTTGACCACAAACATATATATAAAAAGAGGAGGAAGACGAGAAAGAAGGAAGAAGAGAGGGAGAAGGAATAAGAAGAGTGACAGAAAGAGAGAAATGACTGTGTGTGTATGTGAGAGAGAGAGAGAGAGAGAGAGAGAGTGAGAGAGGGATGTGAGTGCATTATTCAACTTAGTCATATTTTAAATGATGTCAAAACTAGGAGTGAAACTTAGCGTGTTGTACATTGGACGATATCAACATAAATTTAGATGCGCATTTGTCATTTTAGCCTTAGGATGCATAAAAATAGTCTTTGAACAAGTTTGATAGGTCTTAGGCATATCATACACATAAAAAACCAAGTTTTGTGTGTCAACATAACAGTACAGACCAACCTATGGAAGCCTTGGCTTCAGTACAGGTCGACACATCCAAGTTGCAGGTCGGCTCCCACGCTCCAAGAATGAAGCCTGTAGGCTCTGCCCACAGGTCGCCCCTCAGGTTGCCTTACAGTCCGACCTGAAACACCTTCATAGGCTGACTTGTGGCCTTCACAGGACGACCTATGCAACTTCAAACTTAAAAAATTCTATTTGCATCTTGTTTTTCTTGCATTCTCTTTGCCTATTTCTACACACACACACACACACACACACACACACACACACATATATACATACACACACTCATCATGCACATTTTTCGAGTTTAAGGGCTTTCTAGAGATAAAACCTAAACGAAACCGGATTACAAAGTTACCCATCATCTTCATCCCTTCTTCTATGCATACACACAGTTAAACTACAAATAATCATTTTTTTGATTGGATAATCATCTAGATTAGAGTTGATAACATCCAATTAGGTTTGGTGTAACTGAGAATACTGGGTTGAGAACTTTGTGTGTTTCAAATAAGAAAATCAAGGTGGGGTTTTCCTTCAAGATCGGTGTGATTTGAAGGTTTTGGACAAGATCACGTCAACACAGATTCGACCGAGTGAAAGCCTTGGGACAAGGTGGTTTCCTTGCAAAGGAGTAGAGCGAGACAATGAGTTGTGTTCAGGAATCTTGGGTTTCAACAAGTTGCATGCTCAAAAGAACCGGAGGATTGTAGCCGCATTGTTGGTCACTTAATCAAAATTTGATCAAGGGTTTGGAGGTACAAGAATCAACACAAATCATAAGAATTTTGGGGTTTGAGTTCTTCATCTCTTGTATAAACGGTTTTGCAAAGTTAAGGTTAATTGTAAGTATTTCAATTCGATTTCGGATTGAGGGCAGACGTACCCATAGCAAGGCCGATTGGGAAACTTCTAAAACAAATCTTTGTGTCTCTTTATCGTTTTAATTTTCTTTAATTGTTGTTCTTGCAAATTATTGATTTCGTTGTTATTTCGATTAATTCGAGTGGAAATTATTTTCAACTTTCTTTTAAATTGTTGTTGTTGATATAATCATAATCACTTTGATTGTGATTGGCTTTTTACATCAACAAAATAAATCGAATTTCTAAATATGATTAATCGCACACAAAGTGTTCGATAAATTGTTTGTATGTATTTTTATCGTTTTGTGTTCATTAGAAATAAACATTATGAATATCTTTGCATTTAATTAATTCGTAGCTTGATCGTTGTTGAACATTTACGTTCATTATCATTCCGTTTGTTTTGTGATACGTATATAGATTTTCGATACTAGATTTGACTAGACGATTCGATTCGGGTCGTTTTTCCATTGTGTCATATTTTTTGAAAACAGATTTTTCTCAAAAGTTTTTTGTTGTACAATTTGTGATCTATTCACCCTCTCTAAATCGAAACCCATCGTCTAACAAAAGAGTGAAAGAAAGAAGAGTCATGATATTTGACACATTGAGAAAAAGAAAAAGTTAAAAAATGGTGAAATATTTAGTTGGAATTCAACTAATTGGAAACAAACCATTTATAAAGGTGTCTAAAGAGAAAAAAAAATAGTAACATTGCCATCCAAATTGGTTAACTATATTATTTTGGTTGGAAAAAGTAATTTTTGGACCAAAATTACCCTTATTTTGATTAGGTGGTAGAATAAGAAGGAATGACAAAAATGTATTTTCCATGACGTCTGATTTTCTTATACTATAGATGAAGTGGAACCAACGATTGGCCGCGAAGGTCTAGCTTTTTCCCTCCAAACGAAAGTGTGATGGGCCACTTTATCATGTCACAACCTTTCTTGGTTGTTAGACATTTTACCTTTAATTAAACCAGTAAAATTATATCATAATCAAATAAGTCAAACACAGGGGACATGAGGCAAAATCAAACAAGTTATGCATATCAGGAAAGTAGATGATTTAACTTATGTACCAGGTGAAAGGAGAAAATGTATAAATGCATAAATATAGCATGTCCTAAGCTCTAAACTTCAAACATCAAAAATCTAAATGCATGCCTCACTAAACAACTTATTATGCTTATAACTACAACTTAATATACCATAAACAACATATTATACGTTAAACTACAAACTAATACATCACAAAACAAAATAAGAAATAAAATAAAAATTTATCAAACATGATAAGTGGATGATTTTTGATTCAATTGAGTGAAGTAGAGATTAAGCAATGTCTTTGGATTAAGTACAATTCTGTAAAACATATGACAAAGCTTGAAAAATGACGAAAATGGAGTTTGCTCACGAGTTTTTTTTTTTAGTTCTGAGTAAGTTTCTAAAATGAA